TTTTTTTCTTTTTGCTTATGTGGTGCTGAGGAATCGAACCCAGGGCCTCATGCATGCAAGGCACTCTACCACTGAGTCACCTTCCCAGCCCATGGAGATGGGAGTTTTATATCTCTACTACCCCTTTAAGATCAGAAAGGGCTGGTAGGAGGGGTGCCTGCCTGTCATTCCAGCTATTCCTAAGGCTGAGATCAGAGGATCAAAGCCAGCCAGGGCAGGAAAGTTTGTGAGATTCTTCTCTCTCTCTCTCTTTCCTCTCTCTCTTTCTTTCTCTCTCTCTCTCCCCTCCTACCTCCCCCCATCTCTTCCAGTCCTGGGGCTTGAACTTAGCCTGAGCACTATTTCTGGGCTCTTTTGCTTAAAGCTAGTGCTCTACCACTTTAAGCCACAGCGCCACTTCCTCTACTTCTGGTTTTCTGGTGGCTAATTAGAGATAAAAGTCTCAAGGATTTTCCTGCCCGGCTCAGAGCTACATTCTATCTTAAAACTCAACTTCCTGGATAGCAAGGATTACAGGGCATGCGCCACATGAGCACAGTTTCCATGAGACTCTTACCTTCACTAAACTACAAAAAAAAGAAAAGAAAAAAAAGCCAGAAGTGAAGCCAGGTTTGGGTGACTCACACCTATAACCCTAGCTACTCAGGAGGCTGAGATCTGAGGATCATGGTTTGAAGACAGCCCTGGCAGGAAATGCTGTGAGACTCCAATTAAAAAGTCAGAAGTGGAGCTGTGGTTAAAGTGGTGGAGTGCCAGCCTTGAGGGAAAAATTAAGTGACCCACTCAGGCCCTAAGCTCAAGTCCCAGGACTGGGGTGTGTGTGTGTGCATACTTGTGCAAGTGCACATGCACATGTGCGTGAGCACACACACACATACAGAGAACTTGAAGCCCTTGATTTCTTAGGCTGGAGCAGGTGACCATCTTTTAACCCTGAAAGAAGGATTAGAGCTTCAGATAAGCACATCCTAAGTAAATATCTCAAGAAAATCATCTGGTTCAAGTCACCCTTGGACTACATGCTTCAGTAAACATCTTCCAAAGGAATGCCTTTGACAGACTCAGCAACCTATGTCAATGAAGGAGACCTGGTCTCTGGAAATGGCAGAATTAGTGGTTTGGTTCTGAGAACATATGATATGATTAAAATTTTCATGTTTGTTTGGTTTTGGTTGGTTGTGGGGCTTGAACTCAGGACCTGGGCACTGTCCCTGAGCCTCTTTGTGCTAAAGGCTAGTGCCACAGAGCCATTTCCAGTTTTTGAGTGGTTAATTGGAGAGAAGAGTATCTCAGGGACTTTTCTGCCCAAGCTGGCTTCAAACAGCCATCCTCAGATCTCAGCCTCCCAAGTAGCTAGGATTACAGGCATGAGCTGCCAGTGCTGGCTCATGTTTATCTTTTTTTGTCCCTTGTCCCCACTTTGCCTATGCCAGTCCTGAGACTTGAACTCAGGGCCTGGGCGCTGTCCCTGTACTTTTGTGATCAAGGCTAGTGCTTTAGCACAGAACCACTTCCAGCTTCCACAGAACCACTTCCAGCTTTTTCCTGCCTTCTCTCTGTGCTTGGAGCTGGGTTGGCCATTCGTGAAGGAAAGACCCCACCCCAGCTGACTGGCCACACTCTCAGGCTCCCCAAGAGGAGGAGAAGGGCAGGGCTGTGTGCATAGTGCACAAGCTCAGCCTCTGTTTCTACTTCAAGGCAATTTGGTCAGAGCACTGCATCAAGGGCCAGTCCCTTCCCATGGACCCCATGGGCCCTGACCTGAAGGTGGAGGCCCAGGGGCAGCTGTGTTCCCAGGGCTGTCTCCTGAACATCTGCCCTTCCTCTGCACCTTCACAGCAGTGCCCCCTGTTGGCACCTGAGTGCCAACCACATCCTGATAGAACTTGTTCTGGGTCAGCCTCAGTTCTTTTATCTATGAAATGGGAGCAGTTACTGATCCCATTAGACAGGTGCTGGGGAGTCAAGGCCATGGGCTGAGAGACATACAGTGAATCAGAGAGATGCAGAGAGATCAGCCTGCTTCTTGGGCAGCCCCTTCCCACCAGCCAGGCTAGTGTGAATGTTCACAGAAACGTTGGGCTAGATCATCAGCTCTGAGAACAGACTTTGCTGCTGTAGCTTTGTGTGTGTGTGCATGCATCTGTGTGTATACCAGTCTTGGGGCTTGAATTCAGGGCCTGGGTGTTGATCCTGAGCTTTTCCTCTACCACTTTGAGCCAACAGCTCCACTTCTTGTTTTTTGGTGGTTAACTGGAAATACATCTTAACAGAATTTTCTGCTTGGGCTGGCTTTGAATGGTGATCCTCAAATCTCAGCCTCCTGAATAGCCAGGATTCCAGTAGTGAGCCACTAGTGTCTTACCTGGAGCTTGGTTAATTGAAGATGAGTGTCACAAACTTTCCCACCTGGTCTGGCTTCAAATTGCGATCCTCAGATCTCAGCCCACTTGAGTGGTTAGGATGACAGGTGTGAGCCACTGGCAACCGGCTCAGCTTCACTTTGTGTGTGTGTGTGTGTGTGTGTGTGTGTGCCTGTCCTAAGGCTTGAACTCAGGGCCCAGGTGTTGTCTGCAAGGATTGCAAGCATGAGCCACCGATGCCCAGCTTCAGGACTGTCCTCTAGGCAGGGTGAGGACCCCACCTCCACTGGGCAGGTGATGGAGCCCTTTTCCTAGGTCTTTGCAACCGGTCCTCCAGGCCTAATAGTGAGTGGAGGCCAGTGATCCTGCTACAACGGGCTGCCAAGGAGACGCCCCAACAACCACAGGGAGGAAATTGGGGAATAGAGCTGTTGTTGTAAACACAGGGCCGCACCCCAAACGGAAGCACCTGCTCTTTGGCCCTCCCTACAAATCCGACCCCCACTCTCTTAAGTAGGTACCCTGTCAGGTCTTCCTGCTGGGTGTCTCCCCCCATGCACAGGGCGGCACCCCCTGACCTGTCCCTGCCCCTTCCTGCCCCCTTTGATGCGGGCCCACTTCCTTTGGCAGGAACCCCCGCCCTCGCCTGCTGGTGAAAAGGCAGAGCCTGTGCTGCTGGGTGCGGCATCCCAGAGCAGTACCCCACACCTTCTCCTCACGGCCCTGTCTCCCAACCCTTGTACCAGTGCTGTGCTCAGACCCTGGTGCAGGCCTGGGGGGCAGGGACCTGGGGTCCCCTACACCATTGTACTCAGGAACCAAGGTACCGGGCTGCTGCTTCCAGCATCTTTCAAGTTCCGTGCAGATGTGGCTTGGACCATGCTTCTCAGGTACTCTCCTCCCTTAACTGCAGGGCTGGCACTCGGACCAGGGCTCTGTCTCCAGCCCAATCCCCTCTCCCCTCCCAGCAGTGGCTCTGTCCCTCCCTCTTCCCATGTGAGCAATCTGCCTTGGCAATAGAGTTGGGATCCAGACCAGCCCCTAGCTTGTGCTGGTACTGGGGCTTGAACCCAGGGCTCAGGTGATGCCCCTTCAGCTTATTTTTTGTTCAAGGCTGGTGCGCTGGCTTAATGTTAGCCACAGACACACTTTCAGCCTTTTATTTGGTGGCTAATTGGGTGAATCTCAAAACCATTCCCTCCCTGTGGGCCTCAGATCTTGGCTTCCAGTCGGTAGGATATTACAGGCGGGAGCCAGCTGTACCCAGTTGCAGTCCCTGGATTGAGGCAGCTGGTACAGAGGAGGAAGCATGGCACCAGGTAGTGGTCGTCTCAATTCAGGAAGACCAGAAACCATGCAGGCAAGGCAGCAGCTTAACCCAGGTGTTCATCTCCATGTGGGAGGAGCCGTTCACTGTTGATGTATAGAGACCAGGCTGGTCTGAGAGTGGAAAATGACTTTATTTGTTCTGGGGAGGGGGCAGTGTCATCTCAGAACTTCTGGAATTGCTTCTTGGTGCCAGCAGCCTTGGTGACCTTGAGCACGTTGAATCGCACAGTCTTGCTCAGGGGCCGGCACTCGCCCACGGTGACAATGTCGCCGATCTGGACGTCCCTGTGAAAGGACCATAGCAGTTGATACCCAGGAAAACCCTCTCAGTCCACAGGTTGAGGCGTTCCATCCTGGCTCAATCCCAGCCCCCAGGGCAACCTGCCCCCTAGTCCCTGATCTTACCATGGTCTTTCACTTGTGGTATCTACAGAGAACAGGCAGGGCAGGCCTCTTAGGGGGTCAGCTCCTCCTCCTCCAGCCTCACCTGTACCTCCTGGCAACTATGTCGAATGAGCTGGTGCTCTGTTCTAACTCACACAGCATAGGGATAAATTTTGTGCCAGGCACAGTGGCTACTTGGGAGGCAGAGACTAAGAATCACACTTCTAGGTTAACCCTGGGCAAAAATAACACCATCTCAACAAATCAGGGTGAGGGGATAGCCATGATGCCAGCTACACAGATGCTGGTCCAGGTTGGCTTGTGCAAAGAACAACAACAACAAAATCTAATCTAAAAAATAACTAAGGCAGGCCAGAGGCTGCTGGCTCACAACTGTAACTCTAAAGCCACTCAGGAGATTAAGATCTGAAGATCAAGGTTCAAAGTCAACCTGGGAAGTAAAGTCCATGAGAATTACACTTAAAGTAGTAGAGTACTTGCCTTGAGCACAAAACAGCTCAGGAACAGTACCCAGGCCCTGAGTTCAAGCTTCATGACTGACCTCCCCCAAAAACAAAACAACAACAAAAAAAACAGCCTCGGGCTGGGAAGGTGGCTCAGTGGTAGAGCACTTGCCTTGCATGCATGAGGCCCTGGGTTCGATTCCTCAGCACCACATAAGCAAAAAGAAAAAAAAGTTGGAAGTGGTGCTGTGGCTCAAGTGGTAGAGTGCTAGCCTTGAGCTGAAGAGCTGAGGGATAGCACCCAGGCCCAGAGTTCAGGCCCCACAACCAGACCTCCCCCCCCCCAAACACACAGCCTACAGTGTGATAGACACATAAAAGTGAGAAGCTGGGTGCCAGTGGCTCATGCCTGTAATCCTAGCTGCTCAGGAGGCTGAGATCTGAGGATTACATTGAAGCCAGCCCAGGCAGGAAGTCTATGAGCCTCTTTTGTTTCCAATAAACCACTCAGAAAACCAGAGGTGCTGTGGCTCAAGTGGTAGAATGCTGCCCTTGAGCTGAGGGACAGCGCCCAGCTCACCCAGAGTACAAGCCCCACAAAAACACAACAACATAATGTGAGGCCCTGACCCTGAGTTGGAACTTCAATGCCCTCACAGCAAGCCAAAATTGCAAAAGCAAAACAGAAGAAACTTGTCTGGCAGGGAACCAATGGCTCATGCCTGTAATCCTAGCTACTCTGGAGACTGAGATCTGAGGATTAGTTTGATACCAGCCCGGGTAAAGTGTGTGAGACTCTGACCACCAGAAATAACTAACGGAAGTGGCACTGTGGTTCAAGGTGTTAGAAGAAACAAAGAAACTCATCTGTTAGGATAACAGAGCAATGTGATACCAGAAATGTGAAGACAGTAGGGGCTTAATTCAATCTCAAGCTGCCCAGGCCTGGGCCACCTCCCCCATGCTCACCTGAAGCAGGGGGAAAGGTGCACAGACATGTTCTTGTGGCGCTTCTCGAAGCGATTGTACTTGCGGATGTAGTGGAGGTAGTCTCGGCGAATGACAATGGTCCTCTGCATCTTCATCTTGGTCACCACGCCTGCGGCAGGGGTCAGAGGGTACAGTTCAGGATTCCTGGGAAGTTAGCCAAGAAGCCCAAGAAAAGTTGCTAGGTGAGTGTTAGATAGGGTGGGATTATTTCCCAGAGGCCTGTTTCTGGCATCAGCCTTGCCAACTGTTTTTCTCAACAGTGCCTATAGTAGACATCTGAAGACCATCGTGAAAAAACATCCTGTGCCAGAGTCCTCTGAATCCTTCAACTGGGTCCCCAAGCCCCCCAGAATTAACTATTCACTCACCAGACAGGATCCGCCCTCGGATGGAGACATTACCGGTGAAGGGGCATTTCTTGTCAATGTAGGTGCCCTCAATGGCCTGAAAAGAGGGAGTGGAGGTAGGGAAGAGGACACTAGGACAAGCTTTCCTGAACAGGGGGAGGAGCCTGGCTTTCAAAGAAAAACTACAATTCCCAGCAGCCCAGGGCCAACCACTGTATCAGATGGGCAAACTGTGCTCAACACGTGGGCAAGAGCTTGGTAGTCATCTCCCTTCCCGGGGTCCTGGAACCGCACCTCTTTGGGTGTCTTGAAGCCTAGACCGATGTTCTTGTAGTATCGGGGGAGCTTCTCCTTGCCACTTTCTCCCAGCAGCACCCTCTTCTTATTTTGGAAGATGGTCGGCTGCTTCTGGTACGCACGCTCCGTCTACAGGGAAGAGGAAGGTAGCTAGCTGGTGAGGCTTGATCTTGGAGCAGACCCTCCATATCCGTCCTTCCCAAACGCCAGTCCTGGAGACCCAGCGCCCCCAAATCTTTCACTCAAAGACTAGGCCTAAAACGCGGGGTTAGTTCAGCTCACACGCCCCCACCTGCCCAACTCATCCCTGAGATCAGAGGCGCCCCGAGCGCTCGGCACCGCTTCCGGCCAGGACTGCCTTCCCGGCTCTGGGAACCCTGCTCGGGAGTCACATCCAACACCGGAGGGGCGCGTTTCAGCAGCAAGCCAGGCCTCCCCGGCCTCGGCCTCGGGAGCCAGGCCGCGGCGCAGGCCCTTCGGCATCCATCGCCGGGGCCCCACCACTTAGAAAACGCCAGCCTAGACTCGCCCGCCGCCGGAGTCAGGCCTAGGCAACTGGGGGTGCATGCAAGTGAACCCCATACAGCTGCCTGTTTCCCGAATCGGCCCCAGCCCCGAGCGCGTACCTGAATGTCCGCCATCTTCCCGGGCGCCTAGAAAAAAAAGAGAGCGACGCCGGCGTCCGGGTTTCCTTATGGACTACGCAGGGGCCGGAGAGGAAGTAGCGAGAGGGGCGGGATCTCTCTGGGCGGCACTTCCGTTATGACTGTGATCGACAGGGGGCCCCAACCAAGCACGCGGTCCAGTGACTGCATGTACGCGGCCATGATGGTGAACAGACTGAAAGGCGGGAAGCCGTACACAGGGTCTCGCGAGAATTCCATTCAGGTTAAGGAAGGTTTGGCTTATGTTATCACGAGATGACGCGGCGAGGCCATTCCGTGACCCAGAGGCATTACGTTCACACGGAAAGGGGAAACCGCATGGCTGAGTTCATGCCGGCTTCAAACCTGAAGGGGCGGCGGCCATCTTTCTTCAGGGCAAGCGGGTGTTCGGACCACGTGTAATTTTGTTATCTGGGTGGCTGCTTGGCTGCTTTAGGAAGCTAAACGACTGTGACTTCCCTCTGTTCCATTTTTATACCCCAGATGGCGATTCGTGCACCAAGGTCACTAGTCTGCTGCTATTCCATGTGTAAGAGCGCTACTAGAATTTACCACGGTGATGGTAATAGTCTGTATTTGCATGAGATTTAAACACGTAGCCATTGCACTCAGGACTTGTTTGGGGGGGCTTTTGTCGGCTCTGCGGCTTGAACTCAAGGCCTGGGCGTATTCCTGAGCTTTTCTGTTCAAGCACTTGAGTCACAGCTGCACTCCTTTTTGGAAATGAGTCCCACTGACTTTGCTGCCTTGGCTGGCTTCAAACCATGACCCTCAGATCTCAAGCTCCTGAGTAACTTAAGATTAATAGGCGTTAACCACTGGTGTCTGGCAGTTTTCATTTTTCCCCCCTGCCTTTCTATTGGAAACGTTGAATTTTATAAACTGTAGTAGCTTCCTAAGCTACTATTGGTCAAGAAAGCAATTTCTGGAGTAAACTGAATTTAGGAGTTGATTGTGCTTTATTAGCTCATGTTGGTTTTAGGAAGGGTGGATTTTACTGTTGCATTTTCATTGACAACATTCTAACCACCCCCATCTTATTAGTTGTGATTTCTAGGAAGAGGTTTGCTGAACCTGGCAGAAGATCCAAGAACAAGGCAAGCCTGCCTGGCATCCCTGGATACTCATCAGATGTCTCAAACCCTAAGAAGTTACTAGGAAAAATGGCTCAATCCTGTAATCCTAGCTCCTCAGAAGGCTGAGATCTGAGATTCAGTTCAAAGCCAGCTCCAGCATTCAGATCTCCTATAAACTTAGAAAAAGCAGGATGTAGCAGTGACTCTAATGAAGCCTTAGCCTTGAGCAGAGGTTAGGGACAGCAGCCTTACCGAGTTGAATGGTTTGGCTAAAAAAATGTAGTGTCCCGGTACCTTGTCTGGCCAGGGAGCAGCAAAGTTATCATTTCCCCTAGTTGCATTTTACAAAGTGCTCAAATAGCTGGTAGTTTTCATAAGGGGGGGGAAAAATCTTAAGGGCTGGGAAGGTGGCTCAGTGGTAGAGTGCTTGCCTTGCATGCATGAGGCCCTGGGTTCGATTCCTCAGCACCACATAAGCAGAAAAAAAACTGAAGTGGGGCTGAGGCTGCAGTGGTAGAACTCTAGCCTTCAGCTGAAGAGCTGAGGGACAACACCCAAGTTCAGGCCCCACCACCGACCAAAAGAAAATCTTAAAAGGCCCAAGGCTTTTCCATTTTTTCACAACCTTAAAAACCCAGAACTATTAGCTCTGCTATCACCAGCTGAAGAGCTGAGGGATAGTGCCCAGGCCCAAGAGAAAACAGTATTTGTGATCTAACATCTCTCATAGTTCTGCTCTTTCTTGCTATAACTCTTTGGGCTTTGACCATTTTCAACTTTTGTAACCTGGCCTCTCGCTTGCTGTGTAGGCACCTGGGCTACAATTTTGTTGCAGCTAGAGCACTTATTTTTTGGAGGTGGGGTGGATTATCTATGTGAACCAGTTTTGTACTGTTGCAGCACTGAGATTACAGGCAACAGGCACATACCACCATGCTCAGCTACTAAACCAGCTTTTTGCTGCAGGTGATGCCTTAACTTCGTAGTTGGCTCTAGTAACTGGCCCTTGGCAACCCAGTACCCTGCAGCTGAGTCAGAATGAGGTCTCATCACCCAGAAATTTAATAGTTCTCAGCCCCCTACTACATTTAACAGGGGTCCATTTCCACAGCAGACACATGCACACAATGGACACTTCAAAATAATTTATTTCTGATCACAAGAGGGAAACAGCAGAAGCAGGTAGGCAGGCCTTCACCTGGCTGTGGACTTAACTCCCTAGTAGGTTGGGGCCCCATTCAGACAGCTGCAGGGTATAAGGGGCCTCGGGCCTCATGGGCAGGGAGAGCCAGACAGGGAGGACTTCACTGCCTGGAAGCATCCAAGTACTTCCACCACTGCAACCAATTCGACCAGCTTGCTGTTCACTACAGTATCTTGCAATCATACCATAACCCAGGTCAGTCAGCAGTATAGGACCTGTTTAAAGGACTCACTGGCCCATAGCACCTGTTTTCTGTTGTCCCCACTTTCTAGGTCCCTGTTTGCCTATGGCACCAGGTCAGTGAGTGGGGTCCAGGTCCCCAACTTCCCAAGCACTATGAGGAAGGGCAGGAAGGCCAGGCATGAGGCATAAACAGTCTTTATTGGGCTCACACCAGGAGTCCATGGGTCTTGAGGACATCTGTGAACTTGTTGATTTTCTTCTCCAAGTTCTTTTCTGCCTGCTTGCGCAGTCTCTGTAGGACGAGGAAGGAGGTCAGTGGTTGGCACTTGGGACCCCTTCCCCAGGGTGTAGGTCCCAGAGGCACCGCCCTGTGCTCACCATCAGCTGCTTCTTCTTCCGGTAGTGAATCTTGGCCTTCTCCTTCCTCTTCTCCTCCAGGGTGGCTGTCACTGCCTGGTATTTCCAGCCCACCTCGTGAGCCAGGCGACCCAGGTAGGCGAACTGGGAGGAAGGGGGTTGTTAAGACAGGCAGCATCTCCACAGGGGAAGGAAACTGTTGTAGTGATGGGACTTCCCCCACCCTCAATCTCCCAACCAGCTGTTAGGAAATGTGACCATTCCCCTCTTGGCATCAGCTAAGCCTTTGGCATTATCGGCATTGCCCGCGGTGGCATCCGCAGACCATCGTGAGAAAAGACATCACTTGCCATTAGGGTCCTCACCGCCCTTTTCCCCCCCAAGCAGTACGTGGGTGACCTGGAACTCACCTTCCTCGTGGGCTTCAGTCTTAAGACCTTAAGGGCAGCAGGGACCACCATGCGCTTTTTCTGTTAAGAATAGAGACTTATAGAAGGGTGGAAGGGCTGGTGGGGAAAAGCTGTTGGGTATGGGGTGTCTCAGTGGATTTTATTTTTCATGAGGATCAAACAATGTAGGTAATTTGTCAACATCATAGACAAGAGTGCGTGGGCAGGCAGCCGGGGTCTGAGCCACTCACCTTGTCGTAGGGTGGTGGGATCCCATCGAACACTTTGAGGCGTTCCAGGGCAGCCTGGCCTCGCTTAGTCTTGTGGGGCAGCATGCCTGTGGGCAGAGGATGTCTGTCAGCACAGCTTCTGAGGCAGCCCTCCAGCATGGTGGGCTGAGGCGGCCTCAGATGGTAGTGCATGTGGAGTGGTCTCATGGTTGGGAAACTCGAACAGAGTGGGAGATGTTGTCATCATTGGCTGCCACCCATCCCCCTTTCTGCCCCTCCCTCAGGACCTGCTCACCTCGCACAGTCCGCCAAAAGATGCGGCTAGGGGCCCGGAAGTGGTAAGGGCCTCGGGAAGGGTTGGTGTTCATCCGCTTGCGGAGGAAGGCCAGGTACTTCACTGCAGGGAGGGAGAATGAGGAAGGACTGCCTGGTTCCCGAGGTCTCAGCAGCACTGCCACCCCACTGCCGTGATCGGTCCTGCAGGCTCTCCCCAGTCCTCTTCCCACGTCCTAACTTACACTTATTTCTGTAGAAATTCCCAGAAATATTGATGCCCTCACATCGTACAACCACCACCTTGCGGCCTAGATGGGGATGGAAGGAAGAGCAGGGTCAACCAGGGCTCGCCAGCTCAAGGACCCAAAATACTTTTGCCACTGAGGGTGGAAGGGAATGGCTGGCAGGTCTCAGAGCGGTGCATGGGGTTGATCTCATGGTCTTGAGACTCAAACGAAAGATGGTGATTGTTGCTCATCACTGACCTCCAGCTGTGTCCTGGAATGGGGCAGATGTGGACACTTACCAAGCAGCACTTGTTTGGCCACGATGGCTGCCAAGCGGCCCAAGAGATGGCCTCGGCCATCTAGCACTAGGACCTGTGGGAGAAAGATGAATGAGGTTAAGGATTAACAGGCTGACATGTCCACCCCCAAAACACCATCACTTTATGCTGCCCCTCACCCCAGCTGCTTCTCCCTAGCAGCTCAAAACAAGAGCAAGGCTAACCTATCAGCCTAGGGGTGGACTCCAAAATCCCCCTCACAGGTCATGGACTCCAAGATTATTTCTGTACACACTACATCTCCGATCCTTAAGCCACCTAATACCCTTCATGTGTAAGACGTACTTTATGTTATGTCCTGCATTTCTTCGGGTCTCAAGCGGTCCTCCTGCCTCAGCCTCCCCGGTAGCTGGGATTATTGGCACAAGCCACCACACCTGGTGCTATCCTAAATTTCTTAACAAGAAATTTAACAAGCATTTAAGGTGGGAGAAGATGAGACTAGTCAAAACGCCCACCCTGGGCCTGAATCCCTAGGTCATATGCTGAAGCACAGATCCTCAGCTTCAGAGGGACGATCAGAAGCCCACCTTAATACAATGGGATGTGGACTGTTACATACCGTGAGTAACACAGTATACTCTGTGCAACTCACTATATACGGTAATTGATGGACTATGGCAAGTAGATCTCACGCTTTCTAAAACACCTATGAGGCAGTGGAATACCCCATGCAAATTTAAACATTTTACCCCGCCTTAAAAACTCTCCAGTCAGGGTGTGGTGGCGCATGCCCATATTCCCAGCGTTCAGGAGGCTGAGGCTGACAATCCAAAGTCGGACACCCTGGGCCACGGTGAGACTCCATGTCAAAAATAGAGGTGGGGGATTCACTCCCTCAAGCTGATCCCTCCCCCCATCTAAAACGAGGCTAGCCATTGAATGAGCACTATATCCGCGCTAGAGGGAGACTCTCAAGCTGACTCTATCCCACTTGTCTAGATTCCCCTCCACCCCCCCCACTCAAAAACGTGGGAGACGCAGAGAACCCATCCCAGGTGCAGCCTCGCCTCACACACAATCGACGCCGCTGGGACGAGGGGAACTGGGGTGCGCCGAGGGCGCCCGGCCAGCCGCCCGAGTCTTCGCAAACTTAACTGTTTCGCCTTTTGCCCCAACGTCAGCCCGATCATCGGTCTAAGTTCAGCCCAAACGTCACCCTAAGTCCTGCCAACGTTACCCGGCAAAGATTGGAAGTAAAAACCTTTTCCGGTGCTGGAAACCCACACCCCTCACCTCGGAAAGGAACAAAAAGCCGCGTCCTTGCCATTTCCAGAACCATAAAGCCGGCCACGGTTTTCTATGGCCACGCTTGGTTCCCCTTATGCCAAAACAGCTCCATGCTGATTACTTGTCAACTTTAGGCTCCATCGTACACGTGGAAGGGAGTCGGAAGCCCCAGCTCGGCTCTCGCCCCGACCCTGCCCGACCCCACGCCGCCCCGGCCGGCACAGAGCACCAACCTGCCCCTCCGCCATCTTCGGCAGCCGCCTGGAAAAGGAAGAAGTATTGGCGCAGGGTTTCTTATCCCTTGCTGCAGGGGCGGAGGAAGTGCTACAGCCCGAGCCGCGTGACGAGCTCTCCTTCTTCTCATTGGTCGAAGGTTTTGGCGCGTGCGCAGTTTTGCCCCGCTGGAAGGCGGGTTTTTTTCTAACTGTCCAATCCAGTGTACTCTGGTGGAATCTGGGCGGGGCGAGGGAAGGTCACATGGGTCTTCCGGAGGCCCGGCGGGGACGGTTGCCGTACAATGGATCTCCGTCCGTGTGCGGTCGTCCCCGCCCGGGAAGAAGGGCAGCGCCATGACCCCCGCGGGACTCCGACCGAAGGCTGCAGGGCATGCGGTGGCCCGCAGAGGGCGAGCCCCGCGTAAACCCCGTCTGTAAAGCAGGTGGAGGTGCGGGACCCAGTGCGAGTTCGACGAGCGGTACATGAATGACTTCCCCGCAAGAAGCTTTTCTCTTGTGCGGCTCTCAGTGTTTGATTTGCTTGTTCCTCGCCCCCTTCGGCCCCCCCGCCTGTCCTGAGGCTTGAACTCAGAGCCTGCGTGCTGTGCCTTGAGTTTTTTCACTCAAGGATAGCACTCTACCATTTGAACCACAGCTCCACTTCCGGCTTTTTGCTGGTTCTCACGTACTTTTCTTATCCGAGGTGGCTTTGAACCACCGTGATCCTTAGATCTCAGCCTCCTGAGTGGCTGGGATGACGGGCGTGAGCCACCGGTTTCCTGCTTTGGCGGTGTCCTTTCCCCTGGGATATTCTCCCTGCTCCCATCTTTCTTCCCAGAGCTGTGTTGGCAAAATCCGATGTCCTATGGCTCAAGAGTCCCGTCCTCTAGAGAAAGTCAGCCTGCCTGATCTGTCCCGGCCTGGGTGAATGACTCCTGGGGCTTCCACACTGTGTAACCTTCACTACAGCATGTGGCATCCTGTTCTGAGAGTCCAGAATATTCTTCAAAGACCAGGAGTCCAAGGAGGACTGAGGTGCTTCTGCCTCCCATTTGGGTCCTAGCTATGCCCAGATCTAGGCCCAGGACATTCCTCCCCCTCCCCCCACACCTTACCCAGGAGGCCTCAGAAAACATTGCATTAACTGAAAAATGGAAAGCTGTTCACTGCACTGTTCACACCCTGCCCCGTCCACACACAGGCTGCACAGAGCTGGTAGAAAATAATGATTTATATACAAGTTCATTGAGACAAGGGCTTTGTACAGAGGTGGGGAAGGAGGGTGAGGGCTGGGTTGGGACATTTTGTCCATGTTGGGGGGACGGGCAGTGTGGGCAGCCCAGCCAGGGAAAAGACCAGCCTGCAGCCAGCTTCCTTTGTGTCCTGGCAGTGTGTCCTCTGGCAGGTTTCTCCTCTTGCTGGGCCCCAGTGCCTTTGCCTGACACGTTGGATGAACAAATGTTACTCTTATGAGGTTATTAAAAGCTTGGTAGAAGCTAAGTGATGGTGGCTCACGCCTGTAATCCTAACTACTCGTAAGGAGACAAATCTGAAGATCATGGTTCAAAGTCAGCCTGGGCAGAAAAGTCCTTGGAGACTCTTTTTTAATTTTTTTTGGGGGGGTCCGGTCGTGGGGCTTGAACTCTAGGCTTGGGTGCTGTTCCCCAGCTCTTCAGCTCAAAGCTAGTGCTCTACCACTTCAGCCACAGCTCCACTTCCGGCTTTTTTTTCCTGTTTATGTGGTGCTGAGGAATCGAACCCAGGGCCTCATGCATACAAGGCAAGCGCTCTACCACTGAGCTACCTTCCCTCCCCCATGGAGACTCTTATCTCCAGTAAACTGCTCAGAAAGAGTCAGAAGTGGGGCTATGGCTCAAGTGGTAGAGCTCTAGCATTGAATACAAAGAGGCTCAAGGACAACATCTAGGCTCTGAGCTCAAGCCCCAGGACTAACAAAAAAAATCATCACACAAAAGAGGGAAAGTCTGAAGTTCAATATGTCTCTAAAAAGAAAAGAAACAACATGGTTATTGAGAGTGGGAAGACTGGCTAGACAGAAACAAGAGTGGAAAATGGGAAATAACAATGGAGTTTTGTTTTCCTGCTTATGAGACAGGGTCTCCTTATGTAGCCCAAGCTGGCCTTAAGCTTCAGATCCTTTTGTCCTCAGACTCCTGAGTGATGAGATTATAGGCATGTAGCTCCATGCCCAGCTGAGAACTTTGTATTTGTGTGGGCATGTGTCAGTGTCAGTTCTAGGGTTTGAATTTAGGGCCAGTTCTGCTCAGTTCTGGTATTCTATTGCTTGAGCCTCAGTTCATTTCCAACTCCCCCCCCCCCCCGGCAGGGGAGGGATTACTGATCCTGTGCTTAAACTTATGGCTTGGGTTCTGTCCTTGAGTTTTTTGTTTGTTTGGTTGTTTTTTTTTTGCCAGTCCAGAGGCTTGAACTCTAGACCTAGGTGCTGTCTGTGAGCTCCTTTCATTCAAGGCTAGCACTCTAGCACTTGAGCCACAGTACCACTTCCAGCTTTTTCTGTGATTAATTGATGATCCTTAGATCTCAGCCTCTAGAGCAGCTAGGATTACAGGAATGAGCCACCAGAGTCTGGCTCCTTGAGCTTTTCTGCGTAAAGCTCGTGCTCTATCCCTTGAACCACAGCTCCAGTTCAAGCTTTTGTGATGTTTAATTGGAGCTAAGAATCTCATGGGTTTTCTTATCTGGGCTACCTTTGAAGTTCAATCCTCAGATCTAAGCCTCCAGAATACCTAAGATTACAGGTGTGAGCTACTGGTCCCCAGCTCATTTCTAGCTTTTTAAAAAGTCCATTGGAGGGCTGGGAAGGTGGCTCAGTGGTAGAGTGCTTGCCTTGCATGCATGAGGCCCTGGGTTCAATTCCTCAGCACCACATAAGCGAAAAGAAAAAAGCCGGAAGTGGTGCTGTGGCTCAAGTGGTAGAGCGTTAGCCTTGAGCTGAAGAGCTGAGGGACAGCGCCCAGACCCAGAGTTCAGGCCCCACAACCGGACCCCCCAAAAAAAATTACATATATAAAAAGTCCATTGGAGTTAAGAGTCTCTGGGATTTGTCTACCAGGGTTGGCTGTGATCCTCAGATCTCTGCCTCCTGAGTAAACAGGATTACAGGCTTGAGTCACCAGGGCTGGGCTTGAGAAGTATCTTTTGTTTGGTTTTTTGGAAATGGGGCTTGAACAATGGGTCTGGGTGTTGTCCCTGAGCTCTTCAGCTCAAACCGAGTGCTCTACCACTGGAGCCATAGCGCTACTTCTGATTTTCTGAGGATTCATTGGAGATAAGGGTCTCATGGCCAGGTGCCGGTGGCTCACGCCTGTAATCCTAGCTACTCAGGAGACTGAGCTCTGAGGATCGAGGTTCAAAGCCAGCCTAGGCAAGAAAGTCCCTGAGACTTTTATCTCCAATTAACCACCAGAAAAAACAAACAAACAAATGAAGTGGCGCTACGGCTCAAGCAGTAGAGGGCTAGCCTTGAGCTGAAGAGCTGAGGGACAGCCGGGCGGGCGCTTGTAGCTCACGCCTGTGATCCTAGCTACTCTTATCTCCAATAAACCACTAGAAAACTGGAAGTGGTGCTGTGGCTCAAGCGGTAGAGTGCTTGCCTTAAGCTGAAGAGCACAGGGACAGCGCCCAAGCCCAGAGTTCAAGCCCTGTGACCGACAAAAACAAAACAAGACAGAGTGTCTTGGACTTCCTGCTTAGGCTGGCTTTGAATCACAATCCACAGATCTCAGCCTCCTGAGTAGCTAAGATTACAGGCATGAGCTACCAGTGCCCTTTGAGAAGTGTTTTTGTTAGACTCATCTGGTCCTGGAAACCTAGCATTTCCACACCTATTTACATTCTTTTCACCCCCCCCCACACACCTCCCATGGCTCCTCCACCCCCCACACCTCCATCATGGGGCTTGAACTCAGGGCCTGGGTGCAGTCCTTGAAAGGAGCTCTTTTGCTCAAGGTAGTGCTCTACCACTTTGAGCCCTAGCTCTACTTCTGGTTTTCTGGTGGTTAATTGGACTTACCTACCAGGGCTGGCTTTAAATCACGATCCTCAGATCTCAGCCTCCTAAGTAGCAAGGATTACAGGCCTGAGCCACCAGCACCTGGTCTCCCATGGCTTATATCCTTGTGTCAGTAGCTGAAGTTACTTGAACACCTTGAATTATGCCATCCTAGAGGCTCAGCTAAGACCATTCCCTCTGGAATCCCAGGTCGTTCCTGCCCCCAGGGGGCTACTCTGTCCTGGCCCACAGACTCCTGCATCTCCCAGGGTCCCTCATTCCCTCAGCCAACCCCCCTGCCTGGTATTACTCCTCCTCTGGGACCCCCACTGGCCAGGCTGTCACTGAGCCACACCCATGGTGATCAGTGCCAACTCTATTAAAACCAGCAGCAGCGCACCAGATGCTGGTGACTCACGCTTGTCATCCTACGCTCAGAAGGCTGAGATCTGAAGGTAGTAGTTCAAAATCAGCTTGAGCAGGAAAGTCCAAGGGACTCACAGCTCCAATTAACTACCAAAAAGTTAGAAATGGAGGTGTGGCTCAAGTGGTAAGAACACCAGCCTTGAACAAAAAAGCTAAAGGATAGCACCCAGGCTCTGAATTCAGACAAAAATCAAAGCAGAGCTGGGTGCCGGTGGCTCACGCCTGTAATCCTAGCTACTCAGGAGGCTGAGATCTGAGGATCGAGGTTCAAAGCCAGCCGGGGCAGGAAAGACCGTGAGACTCTTATCTCCAATAATCTACTAGAAAACTGGAAGTGGTGCTGTGGCTCAAAAAGTAGAGGGCTTGCCTTGAGCTGAAGAGCTGAGGGACAGCGCCCAAGACCAGAGTTCAAGCCCCACAACCAGAAAGAAAAATAAATAAAAGCCGGGTGCTGGTGGCTGAAAACTGTCATCCTAGTGACTCAGGAGGCTGAGATCTGAGGATCATGGCTCGAAGCCAGCTTGGGCAGGAAAGTCCCATGAGAGTCTTATCTCTAATGAATCACTAGAAATCCAGAAGTAGTGCTGTGGTTCAAAGTGATAGAGCACCAGCCTTGAGCAAAAGAGCTCAGGAACAGCACCCAGGCTCTTGAGTTCAAGCCCATGACTAATAAAAAATAAAAATCAAAAATCTCACTCCAGGCTTTTGTTTTTGGCCAGTCCTGGGGCTTGAACTCAACCAGGGCACTGTCCCTGAGCTTCTTTTGCTCAAGGCTAGCACTCTACCCTTTGAGCGACAGCTCCATTTCAGGCTTTTTTCTGTGTATGTGGTACTGAGGAATGGAACCCAGGGCTTCATGCATGCTAGGCGGGCACTCTACCACTGAGCCACCTTCCCAGCCCTCACCCCAGGTTTTCTAGTTCTCCCCCAACCTCTTCTTTGGCCCAGAGGGGCATTTTCCTCACTGTCTCGGCCCCTCCCCTGCCAGCGGCTCTCCTGTCTCCACAGAGCCTCAACACTGCCCACACCCCGTGCACGGCCCTGGCCTCTGTGAGGACTCACCAAGATGAGGCTGTGGCCAGGTCATCGCTCCTGCAGCAGTGTATCCTGAGGGCGGGGGGCAGGGGGCAGCTGTGGCCCCCACAGGATCAGCCTCAGGCAGGGCAGGGCCTCCAAGCCACCACAGTCCCTTGTAACCACCACCTCCAGGCTCTGCCTGCCTGGCTGGCTCACCTGCTCCGCAGGGTGGGGCAGTGCCCTTGCCAGCCTCTGCCAGCGTAGGTACCAGGCAGTGGCCAGCAGCAGCAGGAGGGCAGCGGGCAGCAGCAGCAGGAGCAGCAGCAAGGAAGGCTGGGAGGCGGGCAGTGCTGTCCCCTCCAGGGCCCCGGGAGTCGGGGGCAGCAGGGTGGAGGAGTCTGGGGAGACAGAGGAAGCTGGGTAACCAAGGAGGAGAAAGGGCCTCGTCAGGGAGGGTAAAGGAGGCCTGTCTGGGGTTCACGGTGACCTCACTTGGCTTCTGGCCTCTCTCTAATTTGTTTTCCTCATCTGCAGTAAAAGCTGGGTATAGTAGTAGACATCTGTAGTCCCAGCAAGTTCCAGGCCAGCCTGGAGTAGGCCCAGAGTTCAAGCCCCACAACTGACAAAAAGAAAAAAAAAGTCCAGGGAATATACAATGTGTTTAGAAGACTTGGAACACAAAGGGATTATATTTTAGTTTGAATCCACCAAGTTTAACGACTTCTAGTGTTTGCCGGGGTTTGTCTTTTTTCTCCCTGTAGTAGGTGAGCTTTGTGCAGGAACAGGTGGTCACTTGTCTGGTTTACTGTCTGCCAGGACTGCAGTGAGTGTACAGACAGATCATCCACAGCTCACAGAGCCTCTGTGCACAGCAGAGCTGCTCCACAGCCTCAAGGGTGTGTGTGTGTGTGTGTGTGTGTGTGTGTACACGCATGCCAGCACTGGGGCTCAAACTCAGGGACTTGTGCTCTGTTTTAGCTTTTTCACTCAAGGCTAATGCTCCTCTTTGGGCTTCTTGCTGATTCATTGGCGATCAGGGTGCCCTGGAGTCCTTGAGTAGCTAGGATTTCTAGCTGTGAGCCACTGGCACCTAACTCCTATTTTCTTTTCCTTTCTTTCTTTTTGAGCCAAGGTCTTAGCGTGTTAAGAAGCCTCCCATAGAACTCGGGCTCAAGGGAGCACTTGCCTCCCTTTCCCCAGTAGGTGGAGTTATAAGCATGGTTCACTAGATCATGTTTGAAAGTACTGAGTATAAAATGGGTGTGGTGGCACATGGCTGTAATCCCAGGATGGAAGAGTTCAAAGCCAACCTGGGCTAAGTAGGAAATTGGAGAGCAGCCTAGACTTGAGAAATAAAAAACACCAATATAGAGAGAGAGCTAGATACTGGAGATAGGTAATATGTTGAAAGGTACTCTTTTGGGGATACTGCATTCCATAACATGTGAATGGAGATACAGGCTGGGGGGCAGTAGAGTGCTTGCCAGGCAGGTGAAAGAAAATTAGGAAAGATGGGAAGAGAAAAAGAGTCAATTTAAAATCACTGCAATGAAGTTCAACAACATAATTACAGGGAAGAGGACAGCGGTTCTCAGGGCTCAGAGATGGCGACTGTGGCAGGTGGTTTGCAGTGATGGCACAAAGTCTCTGGATCCTGAAGGGGACCCCACCAACCTGGGTAGAAGGCAAGACTGCCTGGGACACACACACACACACTGCAATGGGTTACTGTCTCCCCTCATAAGACACTGGCTGTTGGTGTGCTGACACTTGCCTATGATTTCAGCGCCGGGTAGGCTGAGGCAGGTGGATGGATAGAGAGTTTGAGACTGGCCTGGGCCACACAGCAGGATCCAGTCTTAAAAAACAACAGAAGGCCAAAGCCGATGGCTCACACCTATCATCCTAGCTCCTCAGGAGGCTGAGATCTGAGGATTGTAGTTCAAAGCCAACCTGGGCAGGAAAGACCATGAGACTCTTTATCTCCAATGAACCAGCAGAAAACCGTAAGTGGTGCTATGGCCCAAATGGTAGAGCACTTGCCTTGAGCTGAAGAGCTCAGAGATAGCACCCTGGTCCAGAGTTCATGCCCCCACGACCAACAAAAAACAAACAGGAAAGTTGATGAGCAAAGACCGAGATCATATGACCGGAAAGATGGCTGTCTATAAGCCAAGAGAAACATAGCTCTGGCTGACAGAAAAACCATGTACTTGACCTTGTCTGGGGGAGTCTACTGCTTTCTGTGGTTTAGGTCACAGGTTTGTAAGATTTTGTTAGAGCAGCAGCAGCAAACTAATACACAAGTGGACAACAAGAATTGTTACACCTGAGTAAAGCTTGTGGACAGGACCCTTGTCAGGTTCCTGCTTTGGTTAATTTCTATACTTTGGTTAATTTAAGAAAATGAGGCTTAGCTGAGCACCGGTGGCTCACGCCTGTAATCCTAGCTACTCAGAAGGCTGAGATTTGAGGATCGTGGTTCAAAGCCAGCCCGGGCAGGAAAGACCGTAAGACTCTTATCTCCAATAAAGCACTAGAAAACCAGAAGTGGCACTGTGGCTCAAGTGGTAGAGCACTAGCCTTGAGCTGAAGAGCTGAGGGACAATGCCCAGGCCCAGAGTTCAAGCCCCATGACTGACAAAAAAAAAAGAAAGAAACTGAAGCTGGTGGGGCACTGGTGGCTCATGCCTGTCAGCCTAGCTACTCTACTCAGAAGGCTGAGATCTGAGGATCGCAGTTCAAAGCCAGCTGGGGCAGGAAAGTCCATGAAACTCATCTCCAATAACGCACCAGAAAAGCAGAAGTGGTGCTGTGGCTCAAGTGGTAGAGCGCTTGCCTTGAGCTGAAGAGCTGAGGGACAGCGCTCAGGCTCAGAGTTCAAGCCCCTCGATCAACAAAAGGAAAAGAAAAGAAAAAAAAAACTGAGGCTGAAAATGAGGGAGAGAGTAACACTGTTTGGAAAGAAATGTGTTACCCGGGCGCCGGTGGCTCACGTCTGTAATCCTAGCTACTCAGGAGGCTGAGATCTGAGGATCGAGGTTCAAAGCCAGCCTGGGCAGGAAAGTTCGTGAGACTCTTATCTCCAATAAACCGCTAGAAAACCAGAAATAGTGCTGTGGCTCAAGCGGTAGAGCGCTCGCCTTTAACTGAAGAGCTGAGGGATAGCACCCAATCCCAGAGTTCAAGCCCCACGACAAAAAAAAAAAAAAAGAAATGTGCTCATTACCTTACACATGTAAATGTAACCCCTCTGTACATCACCTTTATAATAAAAGGGCTGGGAGAGTGGCTCAGTGGTAGAGCGCTTGCCTTGCATGCATGAGGCCCTGGGTTCAATCCCTCAGCAGCACATAAGCAGGAAAAGCCAGAAGTGGTGCTGT